ACAACATGCCATCTTTTTGTTACTTCTCATGTCAGTATCGTTTAAATGCAGGTGACCTGGAACATGAGACAGCTGGCTTACATTTACAAGCCAGTAGGTTTTATGAGACCGTTGTGGGTGTCTATGTGTGTGTGCCTGTGTGTAATTACAGAGCTACAAGATGACACCACTACACATTGTGGCAAGAGGTTAGGTAATCATCCATGAAAACAAAATCTGAATCTGAAATATCTCAAGAAAATAATTATCACATTAACTGCATCCTTCACTATTTTCTTCCTTCCTTTCATTGTCTCCATCTTCCTTCCTTCCTTCCCTTATCTTCCTTCAACACTAGTGTGCTGCAGTATCATACTGTAATTGCTGCTTGTCTGCCATTAGATAATTAGAGGTGTCCCAGAGTGCTTTTTAACAAGCTGCATAACATAAGCTGTTATTAGATTTGGCCTGTGGCCTTTAGCAATATGAGCATCAAAAAACTAAAATCAATAAAGCCATAGTCTTTGAAACTGTTACTCGTATATCTTGACTCATTTTATGAATAATAATATGTATACACCAAAGATAAATCATGTCCCTCCTCTACCCTTTCTTCTCTTAACTTGGATTTATATCTTCTTGACGTTTCTTTGGGAAACACAGCTACAAACAAAATCAGACAGTATTGATTAAAAACCACTGCCATTTATTTAGCACATAGGCTGATATCAAGCCATTGTATATTCAATCACCCTAAAATAATACGTCTAACATATCACTCCATTTTTGTCTGTTTCCATTGCAGTTTGTTGAATTTTGTTTTTATCCATTTACAAACTTTTTTGTGATACATTATTAAACATTCTCTTAACTCTGAAGAACAAGATTTGTAGGCCAGGGCACCAATGCAGAACTACAGTACTTTATCATAATATTGCTTGTCAGCCATTTTACCTTTATCAAAAAACCTTTGGATTTAGAGTCCATACCTAGGCTAGGTAGGGACACTCAGGACCAGTAGCCACTGCTATTGAGGTCGCCACGTCAGGATGTAACGTATTACTCACATTTTAGTTGATGAAATGTTTAAACCTTGTTTATTTGGTGTGTAATAGCTACACATTTTTAAAATTAGAGAATGTAAAAATAACATTAGGCCTTCAACGATAAATGAAAATGTTTTTTTAAAAGTTGCAGCCACATGTGACTCTGGAGCTACAGGTTGCCTAGCCCTGTTTTAGGGTGTGTTTCATCAGTGGGTGTAAGATTTGTCTGTGTAATGTCTAATTGAAGCTCAGTGTTTGTTTGAATAAATTAACACAATTAAGTGATAGTTACGGATCAAGGCTTATTCCTAACCATGACGGGTCAAAATACAGTAACCCAAATTGTCCATAAAAGTATTGTGTTTCTTTACTGCTTGTATACCAACATGCCCGCACTGTAAGAACATGGCAGCTCCTCTCAGGTTCACCGCTGTACCAACCACCTCATTGTTCATAATGGGACCATCTCCATTTCCTATTCCACCTCCCTGGCCCTTCATCCTCCCCCTTGAGTCCTCCTCCTCTATCTCCACCTCTTCTTTTCATCCAGAAAAGCCTCTGCCAACAGGACGGGGAAACCTAACTCACCGTCCTTTCATAGAGACAAACCTGTTCCCTCTCTCTCCCCACCCCTTCCCTCTGTGCCTAAAGTCTTTCTCTCCCTTTTCTCTTTGTCCCGATTGTTTCACCCCCCCTCTAATTTTTCAGCCTTCTCTCTCTCTCTCTCTCTCTCTGTCTCCAGTGCTGGTGGTTAGTAGGCTTAACCGCACCATTGTTCTGGTATCAGCACATTTCCGGAGGCTGTCGCATACAAAGGCTTCGGGAACACACTCTCTCACTCCCACTGCCTAATGCCAGCCCTCACCTGCCCACACACACACACACTCAGGAGAACGTCAGTGGTTACCTCATTCCTACACACACAAACCTCTAAGAAAGGTGAATTACAGAGGATTTACCTCAGTCCTCTTTCATGTGAAGTTTTCCTTCCTAGATTTCTTCCCAATTCCCTCCATCCTCCCTGCCTTCCTCCCCTCCTCCAAAATAATAATGAGTTGCTCCCTCCCTCGGTTGAACTCAATCACATCACTTGATGAAAAACAATTTGCTAAATGACACTCAAAAGCATTTACTTTTTTTAGTTATATAATCATGGTACTTAAAAAAAAGTAGTGCCCTTTTGCCTGGTAAGATTTTAAGTTCAAAATTAAATTTGAAGATTTTTGTTCAAAATTAAATTTGCTTAAGAAAATTTCTGCAGATGCACGTGTAAACAGACACACAGACACACAAGACAAGTTTCCTACAGGTCCTCCTTCCACCCCCACGCACCAGAGATGAAGAAAAGACATAGAAAGTGAAAAGAAAAAGAGAAGAGAGGAGGCACTGCTGGTTCTTTTGTCCCTGTGATCAGCCTGAGACCTTTCACTCTCTCTTTCTCTCCAACACACACGCCAATTAACCCAGTCTCTGACCTGGGGGCTTGGACACGACCCTTGACCTTGGTGCTTTTGCTGAGAGGCGTCAGGAGTCTGAATGGACAGCTCCCTATCTCTATAATGACAGTGCGTGAAGTTTATAGACATCAGACATACTGGTTCACATTTCCGCTCTGAAACACATCCTTGTCTCCCATTTCCTCCCTGATTTTCCTCTAATAAACTCTCAGCTAATGCTATCTCTCTCTGAAGCTCTTTTTTACTTATTTCTTCTGCAGACACTTCAATCTTTCCACACCAGTCAGAAGATGAACTTCTCTGACCTTGTTCCTTTAACTCTTCTATGGTTTACAGTAAATATGTAGCTTAGAGATGAATGGGCATCTGAGATTTGGAATGAGATAAAACTAGATCCAGTGACAGGGAGTTTTTTGTATAGCCACCTAGAAGCATTAACAACATACAGCAAGATGCTTTCTTTGACTACCTGCTGGAGACCTGAACCTACTTGGAGATACTTGTATATATTTAATCAGTTTTAAAGGGATCAGCCCATCTTCTCCAAACAATACTCATATGCTCATTGTATGTTGAAACAGTTTTCAGTTGCTTTAATTGTTTTAATTGATCCTCCTGTCCATATTAAACACAAACAAGCGGCAGCCTCCGTGGCTGGCAAATGAAGGCAACATAAGAAATAACAAAAACTCTCAGCTAAAAAGCTCAGCCAACCTGGTTAATCAGGACTGTGTGGGTGTGTTTTGACCAGATTTTAGTGACAGAAACAAACAACTGTCCAAATCTCATCAGATACAGATTCAAATGTCGCTAAATCCTGATTGGTGCACACAAGTAGGTGACATGGGCACCTTGTTGGTCAAAGGCGTTAAGGCACTGACAACAGACTGCACTGTCCTTTGTTGCATGTCATTCCCAACTCTCTGTACTCTCATTTCCTGGCTTCTTTCCGATGTTCATGATTAAATGAAGGTGTAAAAAATTGTTACATTTTTCCAAGTGAGCCCTGCCCCAAAAAACACAGACGCAGACACAGAAAAATTGTTTTTTCATGTAGCATCTATGGTAACCAGCTGAATCAGAAAATATATTATATGGGGGCTTTAAGTGTGTTACATATTCTTATTGTTACTTTATAATGTCTTTCCTCTTGAGGAAAAAACCTGAAACCTACCTCCGAGCCATCATTAAGAGCTGCAGTTGTGATCAATGACAATGTGTGAGAGGACACCCTGGGTGATAACAGCAGGCACTAATAGACTTTAACCAGAGCAATAAGCCCATTGTCTTCAGCTCCAGGGAACAATGCATTTTATTGAGGGCCATTAATCAGATAAATCTTTAGCTCGCTGATATTACAGAGCATGCATCCGCATTGCTCGAGTAGTGCAGGTGTCGTACAGCTACTTTTCAGAGTCATTTTCTGGCTTTAAATTAAATAAAAAACAATTCTAGTGAAAAGAAGCCTTCATCAGACACTCAGTGGTTATGTGTTATGTTGTTTTAAACTGTTAATTTCCCAGCCTTCTTTTATTTTTGTCACAGCACACACACACACACACACACACACACACACAAACAGATACATATACATGCAGCACTGGACACACTCGCATCCTTAAGGGTCTTGAGCAGTGCTGGTGATGTGGGTGTGGAGTGGGTGTCTCTATTTGCGGATTCAGCTGGGCTGTTTTAAGAGGACCATAAACAGAGCGACACCACCCACAGAGAAAGACCGACAGACAGAGAGAGACAGGGACAACCCCAGAGACCCGGAGGGCACCAGGGGCCCTAAAAAAGAAACTCCAGCTATCTTATCTCTGTGCAGAGATGCGGGCCGACACTTTTCTGCACTGTGTTAAACTGGTGTCTGCAGGCTACTGTATGTTGACAGAGAACATGTTACTGCTCTGGAAGTTAATGTGACTAATGAAGAGCTTAGTTCAGTAAATATATTTTATAAATGTTCTTTCGGCCTCAGCTTTGACTTAAAAATTTGCCATTTTCTTCACTATGTGGGAGTTAAATACATGCAAATGTAAGTGCAGTTTTGTATGGGAAAAACAAATGGCGATTTCAGTGATGATTTGCTGAGGTAATGAAGGTAAATATATTATTTCACGGCAACTGCAGCCTCCTATTAACGACTAAAGTAGCCTTTTTTCATGTATTAAAACAGTTTTTACCTTGAAAACAAGTACACATTCAACCAGTGAGCTGAGATTAAAAAAAATAAAAAAAATCAAAGCATTCTCACTTAGCAGAGACTCTCTGGATCAAGTGTCAGAATCTTGAAACCAGGAAAATCCCTCACCTCTGTGACCTTTTTGCTCGTTTTAAGTGAAATAAGCCTTCAACATCCATAGACTTCACATGAACACATAAACTCCATATTTTCCAGAGACTAATCAAAGAAAGACCTGTGACCCGGAGCCCGCCTTCACACCCGCTCACTGAGTCACTTCTGAGGATTTGTTAAGGAGCAGAAAACATGGGTTGACTTTCACAGTCTACTTACCGCAGACGAGCATTAGCAGTGAGGCTTGCATCTCCGCGCGCACATCAAACCCGCGAGGCTGCTGCACGCGACCTGTGGCGTAAAGAGAACAGCGTGATACACACTAAAGACATGACCCAAGCACGAGAGTTAATGGAAATGTTGCGAAGTTTGGCTTTTATTCTGGAGGTCCTCAGTGTATGGGTCGGGGACACTTGAGAGTTTTTTTAATTCACTGTCACTGTCCACGATACACAAATGTGCACCGGTCAATTAAACAACATCCCTCCTCTCTGATAGGACTTCTTTCAGGCTAAATGTTTACAACTGCCCACTGTGTTCACCTCTCTGGTGTCGTTATCCCTCAAAAAGTTCGTCAGCTAATCGACAAAAAGAGAATGAACTCACCGTTTCGGTTCCGTTTCGGATGTTTGCTTCTTTGTACGAGTCCGGTCTCCCCTTCGGTCCACTTGCTGCGGAGTTACCGGACAGATGCGGTGCTGAGCGGCGTACTGCGATGAAGAGCCCTCAACTCCTGCGACTTGGAGCTGGAAACCCCGGACTGGAGTCTCGGAATGGAGCGAAGCAGAGCGCGCGGGGGATGGGGTTGAACAGGATGGTTGTCGGTTCGAATCCCCGCGTGGGCGGATGAGAGGTAAGGTACAAACAAAAAATATTACCTGTTTACAAAAAAAAACGTTTGAGTGATTTCTAAAGTGAAATAAACTTTTTTTAATAACACATATTCTTATGGATATTAGCAATGTGTAAAACCCAATAAACACTTAATGTGAAACACTTAATCTTATGTTTCTGCAAAACTGATGATTTATCCAGGAGTCGAACATATGGCTCCGGCCTGTCAAATGGCCCAATCTGGACCACTGAATGACTTTGAAAAGTGTGAAAATTGTAGAGAATTTATTAATTTTAATTGTGTGATAAAATGTACTGTGATTCCTGATTTATATTATATTTATATATTGTTGTTCAGTTCCAAAATACATGCGACCAAACATTTTGTGGGACATATGTGGCCCATGAACTAAAATCAGTATTATAGTATTAGAATGTCATTGTCAGAAACTTAATATGTGTACAGCAAGTACAAAGATAGAAAAATGTAATAAAACCTAAAAAATAACTAAAGGTAAAAAAAAATAAAAGTAATATAACATACAGTGTAATGTTTGTAAAACTAGATCAGACTGGTTTATCAGTGTTCTGGTGGAAGGTCTATATCCACTAACTAACACTAACTGTTTTTTGGCTTTGTTGAATTGTTATTGAAAATATGAGCACTATCACTGTGAACAAACCACTGAAATAAATAAAATAGAAATGGCCAAAAAAAGTCATACTGATATGCCAATTTCATAGCAATATTAACTTTTTGGTAAAAACTGCAACAGGCTGCAACTATTAATGGACAACCAACTGGTTTTCATGGATCCCACACTGACCTGCTGAAAGGGAGCCACCAGAAAATAGCTAGTTATGAAAACTTGAAGGAACCCTTGTGTTTTTCTCAGGTTCAAGTTCAAGCAAATTTTGCTCTGAGAGGAACCCAGCTGCAGACAAGATGGTACATATCAAATGATTATCTTACATAGGGGAAGTTATTTTGCTGTATGTAAAGCTGCTGCACCCTGAAGAAAAAACGATGTGATTATGAAACTGAGTAAGCATAAAGCCGGCTATGATATGGCTATATGGACTTACAGGCATATGTCTTATAGAATATATCTAAATATGTTACATGAGAAAATTGTGATGATGATGATGAGGTACATCATCACAATTTTCTCATGTAATATATTTTATAAAGATGTAAAAAAAAACAACAAAAAAAAACAATGCTGCATGATAAACACAAACATTTTGTCTCCTACAAGTGGCCAGAAATAAGTTTTTAGCGAGTAATTTGGATTTTTGATTTGAAAAAGTTGCTCTGCAGGTTTTCCTCTACAAACCCAGCGCATGTTTTCCTGTGAGCCCCTCTGTCTGTGTCTGGGAGCAGGAATGCGCGCTCCCTGCTGGACGGATTAGATTCCCTTTGATTGCACCCAATGAGCGCGCACAGATCCCAGATCCCCTGGCTGACTGCTCAACCTCAAAACATCAGCCTCATCCAACAGGTGTCTGGGACCATTCCCATTACAGTAGAGTTGTGCAGTAGGAAACAAAGGTCAACTCTATTTTCAGGGGAAAAAAACTTCACATAGCTTCAATGAATTAATCTTTTGAATAAATATATGAAATGCAACAATCACATTTTACAAGTACATTTGATCATATCAATTCTTTCTTTGGGTTTACTCTATGATTTAGTTTGTCTGATGTGTACAGGTGTCCTCCTGAACAAAGCCTGCTGTAAATCTCTGCCATATTACACATTCCCTGTGCGGCTGGAGGACAGCCTCTCTTTGTTAGCACTCAGGATGCAGTGCCAGAACCCAGCAGAGAATAGCAGAGCTCCTTCATACTAAGACCAGGAGGGGAGTGAATGGCAGTAGAGTGAATGAATATCTGGTAGACTACAGGTAAATAGGAACCCTTTACATCCACCCAGGTGTTTTTGTGATTTGACCTCTCAGGTTGAAGTGTGGCTGAGAAACACTGGGGTCACTGACATACTAATTAGAATGATAAAGGTGAGGTCCCCTGGTAGCTCACCTGACAGAGCTGCTCCTCCATCTACTTAAGTCTGAGTCCTTGCTGCAACACCAATGAGTTCAAATCCGACCTGTGGCCCTTTGCTGCATGTCATCCTCTCTCTCTTCTCTTTTTCCTGTCAGTCTTCATATGTCCTATCTAATAAAGGCAAAATGCCCCCAACACCCCTACTCCCCCCAAAAAAGAAAGATAATAGTGGAAGCAGTGGTGGAAAGTAACAAACTACATTTACTAAAGTATTCCTTACGTACAGTTTAGAGGAACATAAAAACACATCATGATAATGGTGACCACTACACTCAACAGAACTAAACACATATGCACGTATGTTCTCTGCCGGACGAGCCACCATTATGTTGTGACCAGTTCAAAAGCCACAACATAAGGAGGAAAACAACACCAGATAGATGTAATATAATGTCATTTATTTACAAAAAGACAAAATGGTTAAATTTAGAGAACAAACATAGAGCTGGGGCTTATGTCACTTGCAAGAGAGTGTGAGCAGAGTAAGGAGCCGCTTAGATAACCTCAGCCCATAGCTTTTAACAGGTGCCCTCCATCAGTGATCAGTGAGCTGCACCTAGAACACAAAGACATAGAGCAGACACACACAGGCAAAACAATAACAGGATACAGAATGACATGTAACAATAAGCTTATAAAGTACAACATACTGTGAAAGATTAAAGCAGTGGTGCCCAATGGGAAAAACATGAATACAAATCTGTGCAGCAGAACTTCTGTTTTCTCCTCTCCTCTACCCAATGAATCCCCCTCAGATTTACTGCCACTGAAGTGAACTACCCATCTGTAAGTAGCTAAACGTGCAATAACTAACTTGTAGAAGTAGAAGAGGACTTGCTTCTTCTGTAGATAAAAACTTCTCATTCCAAGGTAACAAAAACACAACAATTGTTTTCAGGTGATTGTACATTAATAAAAACATACCTATGAATATTATATTCCATTTCTGACAATAACTCCTCCTAAATGTTAAGTTTACATGGCAAACTTGTTAGCAAACAGTTGCTTTCACACATCCAACAGTGACGGAACAATATAATTTATAAGGAGTCGTGTTTCTGGTCACCTGACTCTTTTAGCTCTGTTTTTTGGCAAAATGTGCTCCTGCAGGCCATTTTTAGTACTTTGGCAGATGTTTATATGTCTGTGGAAAGATTATGTCAGTGCAGGTCACAAAAGATGCAGTCACTAAACTCAGCAGGTGTGTAGTTGAGATCAAAATGAAAGCTGAGTTCGAATATGGGTATGGTTGGACGCACGCGTCAGTATGACATGAGTAGTCATGCTGTAGTCAACATATTGATGGGCATTGAGGCTGGTGTGATCACATTGCAAGACTCTAGTTCTCTATGGGTTCATACTATGGGTGACATCTTTCACATACAAGTAGCTCATTAATCCACTGTTAATATAAGTGTTTATTAAAGCCGCTTTTTACTTTGCATTAACAAGAGTCATGAGAATGCCAATCAAGCAGTCTGGACATGCCCACACAGTCTGGAGAAATTAATTGAAAATTAAGTGAAAATACCAGTTTGGGGTTGTTACAGCCTTCTAATGGGCCTTTTTTCACAGCAGACATTTTGACTTGTCAGAGCAGGAAATACACAGCTGTAACTAATAACATTAATGAAGGCTCTGTTCTACAAGCTAGTGAGTGAGCATGCAATACCAGGTACCCTGGAACTGGGTCACATAAATGGAATGCAGTTACCATTAAGGTTATTAATTATACCAGCTTTAACATGTCCTAATGTGTGTTGTGAAAAGAGGAGGTAGCATCTAGCAGCTGAATCAGAGGTGAAGAGAACAGAGACAAGTGCATGGTGCCCCCTTGTGATAAAGAACTGAACACATTCTACTGTAGCAAATGTGTAATATACACAACACACACTTAATATTGTAAATACTGTGCACACATTCACACACAAACAGGACACAAAATGTGATCAATTTACATAAACTGTATCAAATTTATTTGTCTCCACCATCACACCTCAGAATGAATTTTGCTTATAGGAGTACTGGTGTCCGTATATATTTAATCACAAAACACAAAATTTAAGTTCGGAAATCACATTTTTCCACATATTTCTTAATAGGAGTGTCATTTTGTAAATACCATACTAATGTGGTCAAATTACAGCAGAAACAAACAAAACCATAAAAACACTTTTGGTGAAAATAACACATTTCTGATAACATACTCTGATAATATTTCTTCTGTTTATTATTTAGGAAATCAAATTAAACAAATAGTCTTGACAGGTCATCCACTTGTTGTAATAGCTTAAAGACATAAACGCTGTACAGGAGAGTGTTGATATCTGGGAGTCAAAAAGTGGTACAGTACATGGACAGAGGAAGGCATTTTTGTGATACAACACTTGACAGGTATGGACCTTTTTCACAGCAGCCATTCTAACATGAAATAGTAGGTTAAACACAGGTGTTACCAATGATACTAATTAAGGCTCCGTTCCATTCACGTCAAACAGAGTCAGTCTCCTTGGAAAGGCTCTGCTACACTTAACATTGGTAACATCTGTGATTACCCTACTATTTTATGTCAAAATGGCTGCAGTGAAAAAGGTCTAAACTCGGAAATATTCCAGTGACAGAATGAAGGTACTGCAGCAGCGCTTTATTTTACTTGGTGATGTAGATTTTCTGTCCCAGTGACAAACTACAGCAGCAAATAGTAAACACAGAACTGTAACATCCTCACACACAATTACTGTACTTCTGCACTTGTGCCCGGATCTCGTCCCGCACCACGGTAGCGTTTTCCTTCAGCTCATCCAGCTCCATGCGCTGCTTCTGCATCCGCTGCTCATTACTCTTGAACTTTTTCTCCAGTTCTGCAACCACAGGGACAGATAGCAACAATGTCAACACAGGTGACAGCAGGGCAATCGCTACAGCTGAATACCAGCTTGTAAGAGATAAAAG